TTTCGACTTTCAAGATCAACTCAATAATCAATATGGAGACTTGATAAACAATACGATAGTATATTAATGAGAAGGATGAATGACTATTTATGATTCATCTAAAATATTTAGAGATTCCTGACTATTCATTATACGCTTCTTGAATATGTGCCTCTTAGTTAACATATTAGGATGCTCAATGTATTTTTTTCGTTATAGAATTTCACTTTATTTTTACTATCTTTGCTCAATATATATGACATAAGGGTCAGTTGAATACATTCACATGTACGAGATGGAGGTAGAGTAAATGCATCTAACATTGTACATAAATTTGATTTTTTTAGTGTTAATGGATACACATGTTACATTAACACATTAGTCGAGCTTATTTGACTAATGAATTGCTAATAGGTTGATTTCTGAAGGTTGACGCCAACCATTTGCCTCTCGGTCAACTTCCCCTTTGCTAATGCACCCTTGCAAATCGAAGCCCCCTACAGGTTGAACTCTCAAGGTCGATTTTCACTTTTTGATCGACATTATGAAGGTTGACGTCAAAATCTTGATCGATTTTCCCTTGATGGACCACACCATCTTACTCAGAACTCTGATTGTCAACTCAGTTACATTAACGTGTTATGTAACTAGTGTACTAAATTAACATTAAACATTCAAGTTGATGTACTCAATGAATTTTTCCCTCCTCAGTATATACTAACTTTGTCTTTACTGATACAAAGTTTATTTCATTGTCCGTGAGGTGCACTAATATGGCCATATGGGGCATGGGGCAAAGCATTTCACTTTTCGATGCCCGTGAAGAATAGCATCAGTACTAACTACTAAGGATGTTTTTAATTGGACTGTAATTCGCCCCAGATCAGATCAGATCAGACCGGACCAGACCCGACCAGACTTGGATAGTTATAAAAATATAAAGAGACCAGACATTATCGGACCAGACCAGTTCAAACCAGATCAGACCAGACCCGACCATCAAATTACAGTCGAAGTAAAAACATCCTAAGTTATAGTTAGATAGATCCCCACTTTTAACCTAACTTGGAATTATTAATTTTTCAAATGAGTATTCACACTTTCATACCATAGAGAATGTTGTTGTTAGGAGCATAAGATCCTGGGGTTGGGTAGCGAGAGATCATGATGGTAATTTTATGGGAGGAGGATGAGACTCTTGCAAAGCAGGTTGTCCTATCCGGACAACAGAGGTCATAGAGTGAGAGAGGCTTTAGCTTAGCCCAAAAAGAAATTGTGGGGCCGGGTAATCCTTGAGACGGATGTGCAAGTTGTCACCACTGGCTTAGAATGCGAACTTGGAAATCCTTATTTTGACGTGGTGATTAAAGATATCAGACAACTTCATTTTGAAGCTAGCTTTATAGTCGTTATTGTAAACGATCTGCGAATCGTGCAGCTCATAGTCTAGCTAGAGCAACCCCTTCTCAAGCGGGGTGTCGCGAGTTTGATCGATGTTCTGATTGTATTTGTAGAGAACGATTGTCTAAATTAATATGATTATTGGCTTTTCTTACAAAAAAAACAGAGAATATATGTTGTTAAATATGAAGTAACAAATTATTATTTTGAATAGGGACAAAATATTGTCATTGAGCACTTAAACTTTGTTATAAAAATCGTACACTCTTATAGTTTAGATTGAAATATTTTCATTGAACATCAAGTCTGTTATAAGAATTTTAAAACCTCACTTGACTATCAAAACATCTTCATCGAGTAACTGTGCTCTTCTACCATAAAGTATTGAGACTATGTGAGCAAGTTCTAACCTGACCCTTGTGAGTTCCTATTTGACTTGCAGTGGTCACCAGCTCCAATCGATGAATGACAAACTGCCCTTTGTTGTCGTCTAGTTGCGTCGTCCAGTGTTTGGTTGGCTAGAAATGGCCGTGCACTGCTCCACAACAGTGTCTCAAAGTCAAGGCTCCTTTTGCTAGTCGCTCAGCTGCATCGTCCCGAAGAATAGATCACCCCTGACGCTGAGATTGCCATGTTTGATTGGCGGAGAAACAAACATACTCAAGTTTTGATCGCCGATCGTTGAAACCGTATCCCTTAATTGAAAGCAATATGTACTGTGCACATCATACAACCAATTGTATGATATAATTTCTTGATTAAAAAGGTGAAATTCATACCAATAATCCGTACTTTTAGTGATTCTACAATAATAATCCCTCTACTGAAACAGTCGATACAAATAATCCAAACTCGTAAATTTGTCTACATAGATAGATTAAACCTTCATAGATAGATTATTATCCTTCGAAAAAATAATTATAGTAATGATATAAAAAACACTAAACTCACATGTATGACAATGGTGAACAAAGTTAATAATGTATCCTTAAATATTAAATATAAAAAAGTTTAATCTAATCTATCTATGTAGACGTGTTTATGAGTATGGATTATTTATATAGACATCTTCGGTAAGGATTATTATTGTAGAACCGCTTAAAGTATAGTTTATTTGTATGAATTTCGCCGCTTAAAAATGAGTTCAAATGTACAACATTACGTTGAGATATGATCGAAAAATGATGCATATGTTAGGATTGAAAAGCTCTTTTCTTAAAAAAAATGGTAAGTTTTGTACTTGGGTTTCTAGTGATATAAAAACATGTTGAAATAGATAATCCTATATCCACATCTGAGCCAAAAAGAGAAAAAGATAATCCTATATCCCATTGTTCTAAAACTCGCTAGGCGCTAGTCGGGCGGTTGAGGGGCGCCTAGCGCCTAGGCGGCCGACTAGGCCGAATTTTAGGCCGACTAGGCCGATTTTTTGGCCGACTAGGCCGATTCGGCCTCTACAGTTAGGGCCGCCTAGGCCGCCTAGGCCGATTAATCGGTCCGCCTAGGCCGATTTTTAGAACAATGAGTATATCCTATTCCCTTCTTCCCTTATAACTTTGTCAACTTTCCTATTTTGGATGTCCCATTAACTTTGCCACTTTCCCTTTTAAGAAGAAAATTTGTAGTTCCATTTAATTCTCTCTGCTCTGCACAAACCTCAATCACATATTTTTTACTTTATTAATTCCGTGCCTGTCGATCAAATTTGGCAAAGTTATTAGGGACGGAGGGAGTATATAGAAATATGGCCAAATGGGTACCATTATCTTCCAATAAGTTATATGCATTTTAAGTTAGTTTTCTCTAATATAAATATGAGGTCAAGTAAACAATCCTAAACTCAGGCATAATCAAATTATATTGGGAAAACTGTCAAATAGGTCCTCGTACTTTCATAAAAAAGTCAATTAAGTCCTTCTATAGGAGATTCTGTCTGACCGTCGCGATTTGGGGTGGTTCCCGGTGGAATTTTTTGATGAAATTTTTTGAGTATCTTATTCATCAAGTCTAGTTTACTCATATAAAATTGCAGCTAAAAATTCAATCAGGAACACATTCAAATTAATTCATGAAGATAACTGCGCATTTTTGCGTTCTCGAATTAATTTGAATGCGTTCCCGATCGAATTTTTAGCTGAAATTTGGTATGAGTAAACTAGACTTGAATAATAAGATGCTCAAAAAAATTCATCAAAAAATTAAACCGGGAATCACCCCAAATCGCGACGGCCGGACAGAATCTCCTATAGAAGGACTTAATTGACTTTTTTATGAAAGTACGAGGACCTATTTGACAGTTTTCCCAATTATATTTCTACCGCATGCATCTTATATTCAAGATGTTTTGTAGAGGGATGATACATGAATTTAAAACTATACTCGAAATAAATTGACCTGACTCGACTTAGATCTATCTTGACCCGATCTCAATGTTTTTACTTAGATTGTTTTCACCCCTAAACTATATCAGACAAGAGTAGATTAGATTAGATCAGATAAAACTTGGACAATTATAAAATACACAAAGACCAATCATTTATCAAATCAGACTAGATCTAACTAATCAAACCAAATCTCACTAATCAGATCAGACCGGATTAGAAATCCAATTAAAAATTTCAAACCGGGCTAAAAAATTATGGGTCCTCAAGGGGTTAGTCGGTTAGATAAGATGTAAGGATTAATGAGTAAACTCTACTACATCATCGGTTATAAAGATATCTAGAGCCCGTTTGGAGACCCCTTTTTCCAGCTTATCAGGCTTATCAGTCAGCTTTTTCACCAAACACGTAATTTTTACTTTCACGTGCTGAATTGTGTAATAAGCAGAAAAAGTAAGGTTGAAGTTACTTTTCTGGCTGTATTGGCTGAAGTTACTGTAGATGACCATTTTAGCTATTTTTACATGTAATTTTTTCTTTATTTTATTAATAAAATATATTTTTAAAATATTTTTTTCTAGAATCAGCAGAATCAGCCAAAGCAGCCACTTCAGCCAGAACTTCATAAATTTCAGCAGAAACAACCGAAACAGCCGATTTTTGTGCTACCAAACGGGCTCCTAAACTCTCCACTTGATGCCTTTATTCAGACGCCGTTTGGTAAAACTTTTTCGGCCTATTAGGCTTATCAGTCAACTGTTGAAGTTACTTTTCTGGATTTAGTGGCTGAAGTTACTGTAGATGACCATTTTATCTATTTTTACATACCCTGTATAATTTTTTCTTTATTTTATTAATAAACTATATTTTTAAAATAATTTTTTCTTAAATCAACAGAATAAACCAATGCAGCCACTTCAGCCAGAACTTCATAAATTTGAGCAGAATCAACCACACCAGCTGATTTTTGTGCTACCAAACGGGCTCTCAATTGACCACAGACAAGAGTTGTCTGTGTACACAGACAAATTTTGTCTGTTTCCACAGACATTTACTTTTTTGTAAAAAGTACTTGTCAATGTCAGGCGGCTCTCAGTGTACTTTTTACAAAAAAGTAAATGTTTGTGGAAACAGACAAAATTTGTCTGTGTACACAGACAACTCTTGTTTGTAGTCACGGGCAACTCCGTACCAATTGTTCGTGACACACATTGTGTGCACATAGAATTCCTTCAACAACTCCCATCTGCAATCTATTTATCTGTCTAGGAAGTAGGTCGGCCTCACATCTTCTCCATCTTCTTCTTCCAAGGAGCTGCTGTTTTCAACTTTCGCTTTTTATTCCTTGCTCAATAGATAAAGTTAGTTTTTTTTTCCGGGATCAAACAGAGATATTACGTAATTACCCATTAAAACAGGGAGACGAGATTATATATGGCGACGGTGCTTCATCCAGTCTCCAACACTTTACCACCCACAGCCACTACCATTACCTCCAAATCAATGGCCTATAAGGAAGTCGAATCATGCTCAACAATGGCGGAGCTTAATGAGGTCCATGCACAAACCATAAAGCTTGGTCTTTCAAGTGATAACAATGCAATGGGCAGAGTTATCAAGTTCTGTGCTATATCTGAATCAGGAGACTTAAACTATGCCCTCAAAGTGTTTGACACTCTGCCTGAACCAGACACCTTCATATATAACACTATTATCAGAGGGTACTTAAAAAGAGGGCTTCCTAAACGTGCAATTGTTTTTTACTCCCAGATGTTGATGACCTCAGTCTGGCCTAATAGCTTTACTTTCCCTCCGCTAATCCGATGTTGTTGTCTCACCAATATGACCGGAGAAGGAAAGCAGATACATGGTCACGTGATAAAGTTTGGTTTTGGGTCTGATGGGTTTTCCCAGAACAATCTGATTCACATGTATGGAAATTTCAATTGCTTGGAAGAAGCCAGGAAGGTGTTTGATGGGTTGCCTTGCAAAGATGATGTTGCTTGTACAACATTGATAAGTGGGTATGCACAGTGGGGGCATATTGACGAAGCTTCAAGTGTTTTTGAGTCAATACCAGAGAAAAAGAAGAACTCCATTTGTTGGAATGCCATGATTTCAGCATATGTCAAGAATGACAGATTTCATGAGGCATTTGCTTTATTTGAGAGGATGCGAGCTGAGGGCGTGCCAGTTGATAAGTTTGTTGCTGCAAGCATTTTGTCAGCCTGTGGAGGACTAGGAGCTTTAAAGCAAGGGGAATGGATCGTGGAACACATCAATAAAAGCAACATTAATGTCGTGGATGACTCCAAGTTGGCTAATAAGATCATTGATATGTACTGCAAGTGTGGATGTTTGGGTAAGGCATTTAATTTTTTTAATGTTCTGCCAAGGAAAGGGATATCTTCCTGGAATTGCATGATTGGAGGGTTTGCAGTGCATGGTAGAGGAAAGGAAGCAATTGATCTTTTCAAAGAAATGGAAAGGAAGGGGCTTGTTCCGGATGATGTTACCTTTGTGAATGTACTCAGTGCATGTTCTCATTCAGGGTTGATTGAAGAAGGGAAGTTTTACTTTGATTATATGAACACAACCTACAAGATTGAGCCTAGGGTTGAGCATTACGGATGTTTGGTTGATATGTTCGGAAGAGCCGGATTACTAAATGAAGCAAGCAGAGTTATAGAGCAAATGCCTTATATGAGTAGTCCGAATGTAGGTGTCATGGGTGCCCTTCTTGGTGCCTGTAAAATCCACAATGACATCGATTTAGGTGAGCAGTTCGGTCGGACAGCGATTGAGTTGGATCCTCACAATAGTGGCCGCTACATTTTGCTGGCTAATCTATATGCCAATGCTGGTAGATGGGAAGATGTTGCTGAAGTGAGAAAGCTGATGAATGACAGAGGGGTGAAAAAGTCTCCAGGCTACTCGATGATTGAAGTGGAGGGAGGTGTGGTTGATGAGTTCATTGCAGGAGGAATAACTCATCCCCAAGCCCAGGAAATATATGCTAAAGTTAATGAAATGCTCAACAGAATTAGATCTGAAGGCTATGTTCCTGATGAAACAGATGGTGTGTTACTTGGTATCAGTGAAGAGGAGGAAATGGGAAACCTGATAACGAACTACCATAGCGAGAAATTGGCAATTGGGTTTGGATTGTTGAAGACTAAACCTGGCGAAATTATTCGGATCACTAAAAATCTGAGAGTTTGTAGAGACTGTCACAGTGTTAGCAAGCTAGTATCGAAACTCTACGATCGAGAAATCATTGTAAGGGATAGGAATCGGTTCCATCATTTCAAAGGAGGAGAGTGTTCTTGTAATGACTACTGGTAAAGAACTGGAATGTTTATCTTCTTTGAATCTGAAATGTATCTTTTATATATATATATACAGAAAAGATCAGGTCCCTCCGGAGGGACGGGAGGGACCGTCCGAACTTTACTGTTTGGGGCGGTTCCCGGTGGAATTTTTTGATGAAATTTTTTGAGCATGTTCCTCATCAAGTCTAGTTTGTCCATACCAAATTTCAGCTCAAAATTCGACCGGGAAGGCAGTCAAATAAATTCTTGAAACTTACTGCACATTCTGCGCATATATAAAGTGCAGTAAGTTTCAAGAATTTTTTTGACTGCCTTCCCGGTCGAATTTTGAGCTGAAATTTGGTATGGAAAAACTAGACTTGATGAGGAACATGCTCAAAAAATTTCATCAAAAAATTCCACCGGGAACCGCCCCAAACAGTAAAGTTCGGACGGTCCCTCCCGTCCCTCCGGAGGGACCTGATCAGTCCTCTATATATATATATATAATATTATATATATATATCTGAGAAACATGGACTGTAGCTACTAGAGAAGGTTTCAACTCATCATAATCATTACCCCAGTTCCGCAAAGGCTCCCACCTACGGTGGGATAAGGGGGTCGGATGTACGAAGCTTTACTCCTGTACTAAAGCATAGAGATACTGTTTCCGGATGACCCTGTGAAAATTACGTCGAAAATTGCATGAAATGACTACTTCTTCATAACAAAGAAGCACGGACAGTTTAGTGAGTCACTTTGCTTTATTCGGTCATATTCTCAAGCCAAAAAATATTGAATTTTTGGCTCCATTGCAAATGATAGAAAAAGAGTGGCGGTGGAAGTGTTGGTCATGGCGGCACGGTGGCATATGGCCGTGATGGGTTAGGGTGCTCTCTGTTTGTGGTACTTTTCTCGACTTTTGAGTTCCGTTAGATCCTTTATGAGCATATTCAATAGTCCAATGGAGATTTGTGGATTGCCAAAGATACAAATTAGAGGTTGAGGTAAAAAGAAGAAAAGAACCTTCTCCAATGCAAATATCTATTAATTGTGATGCTGATTTGAAATTCTAAAAAAGCCACCCTAAACTTCAGCATCTGATTTCAAAAGCCTGCTAAATATGCTGACTCAGCAAAAAGTTCTCTCGATAGAAATCCCTTTTGAGGGTAAATCAGTAGTATATGACAGCAAAAAATGTGTGAAGTTCTAAAGGTGCGATGCTTCACCAAGGAAAAGCCAGAAAAGAGAAAACAAAGATTTTTTCCCAAACCTCTATCTTCTTCAATCTTCTCCAAACTGCTTCAAACTTATCCAGGTAATATTTTTTAAACTTTCTCCTTTTAATTTGGTCATGGTTGGCTGCATACAGGAATTTACATGCAGATTAGTTTTATATAAATATGGTGTGTGATTTGGGAGCCTACTTTTGTCTAATTATTGCTTCAGGTTTTGTTTCTCTCTCGTTATGTGTTTGGTTTTACTTTCTATAATTATATGCTCCTGGCCGTTATGTTGACTAGCCTAGTTTAGCTTAGTAAGGTGCAGATTCTATCTTTAAAAAATGCACCAGTCTCTTATGGGCATGTGTGCTCTCCTCTCCAAACCAAGGTCGTCAAACTTGCGACTTGTGAGGAACACTCACGGCGCTAGAGTACTCATAACGCCTGAGGTGCAAGGCGCAAAAAGTGCTCGCCTTACTCATGCCAAGCGCATTATTTAGAAAATACTCCCTCCGTCTCGAAAAAGCTTGCCAAAGTTGACTTTCACGTGGATTAATAAAGTAAAAACGGTGTGGTTGAAATTTGTGCAGAGGAGAAAGAATTAACTTTAACCACATAAAAGCAGAAAGCATAAATTATATATAGTGTATGAAGTTGTTAAATGAGTTAGATTATATGAAGTTTTTATACAACAAAAGGATGACTCACCGAAGGTTGGTCTAGTAATAGGGTTCATCCATTTTAGGCACATGAATATCATGAGTTGTAGAAACCATAACAACCTTTTTAGGAGAGCTTCCCATCCATCATTTCTCATCCTAGAGAGTCTTCCTTTGCATATCTTCACAAGGGTCAATGCATTATGAGATCTTGACCACATTTTTGCAAATCCATAATGAAACATCATTCCTAGCTAACACATCAACCATCAAATAGCATCAAAATCAAATCTAAAGAAAGTAGGCTATCTAACAAAGTCCTTGTCAGACCAAGAACATCACAAGTAACATCATAATCCATTATTTCAATAACACCAATTACAGGAACAAACAAAATCATCAAGCTAGTGAAGGTCTTGTAGTGCAATTCCCCAATGTGTATCACCCGCCCTTTGCAAGAGCCGGTTGTTGATTCAAACATGTGCCTGTTTCTACCAAACCCAACTCAATTATATCACACAAATAGACATGTTTTTTTTTGTTCCGAAGCAACTCTTTTATTTTGTTAGAACACCCAATTATATTGATTATAATGTTGACTAGACCCAAAATAGTAGTCACATTAATGTGATACTTCACACCAGCAATAAAAGCCAATGAGAGATGGCGAGTGAAACATTGCACATAGCACCTAAAGTTCCATGTTGAGTTAATGCTTTTATCCTACTAAATTGATCACTCATATTACTTGCTTCATCATACCCTTGAGGCCTTGACCTTGAACCTTGGACAAACTCAACCCATTAGAGATAATGTATTTAAAAGGATTTTTTAATGGATAAATCACTTGTTTTTTTTACATGTGTAATGTCAAGAAATCTTTTCACAACATAACCAACACTATCAACATTATACACAACAAGACCCATTTGCTCTTTACCCAAACAATTCCCCAACTCATCAACTAACAAACCAAATACATCATTGTCAATTTCAATAGCAATATTAGAAGTAGTTAAATATTAAAAAGCAAAAGTAAGGTCTTTTTGAATTGACAGGGAAATCATCCCACGAAAGTATGTGACGTCACTAGGCTTTCGCAACCCTTTAACATATTCAAGAATACGACCCTGGTAAGATGAGTCCTTCCCTCATTATGTCTTTTAAATGCTTGTCCACCCTCAAAACTAATTTAGTAGTTTAAAGTGATGTTTTCACTTTCATTTCATATTCAAATTCAAAAAGTTTTGTTGATTTGTTCACACAAGTAGTGATACTTTGCTTTGAATTTATAAGAGTTTTACATTTCACTACATATGCTTTATGAAATCACTATTTGCATGTTGATTAAGCTCATGTGCCCTCTGGTTTCAACCCTTAAATCCATTCCATTGATCAACAAAAGAATCATGATCATTCTTAGTGAAAGTGAAAATGATGTGTTTTGCTTGTCATGCTATGTGTTTAACATTTAAGGAAGTATGGTTGTGATTCTTTTGTTGATCAAGATAATGAATTAGGGATTGAAATCATAATGTTCATGACCTTATTCAACATGCTAATAGTCATTGTCATATGTATAATGAAATGTAGTGTATTCAAAGCGAAGTATCACTACTTTCGTGAAGAAATCAACGGAGTTTTTAGAATATGAATATGCAATAAAAATGAGAACGTCACTTCAAACTATGAAATTACTTTTGAGGGGTGGACAAACATTTAGAGGACATGATGAGGAGAGGATTCATCTTATTAGAGTTATATTCTTGAATATGTTAAAGGGTTGTGAGAGTTTAATGACGACACATATTTTCGTGAGATGACTTCCTTGGCTAATAAAAAATGTTTTGCTTTTGCTTGTTAATATTTAACCAGTTCCAATATTGGCGGTGAATTAGAAATGATGTATTTGGTGTGTTATTTGATGAGTTGATTGATTGTTTGAGTGAGTAAATGACTCTTATTATGTGTTATGTTGATAGTGCTGGTTGTGTTGTGGAAATATTTCTTGGCATTACACATGTCATAGAAAAATGCTCCATTTGTTATTTGTTAGAAAGCTCTTTTAGACATATTGTCCCCTAATGAATTGAGTTTGTTCAAGTTTTGAGGTCAAGTGTATTATGGAACAAGTAATATGAGTGGCCGACCTAATGGTAAAAACATTTATTCGAAAGTAGAATTCCTCTCCTTGTATGTGCATTGTTTCAATCACCAGTTTCAATTGGCTTTTGTTGCTTGTGAAATATCACATTGATGTGAATACTTTTTAGGTCTGGTTAACAATGATGCCAATATAAATGGATGATCTAACAAAAGATGGGAGTTGTTTTGTGACAAACACATCCCAATATGCTTGAGATAATTGTGTTGTGTTGGATACCTTTGGGACAAGTTTGAATCAATTGCAAGGGCAATGAGTAGACGTTGCAGTAGAGGACTTTTACTAGTTTGATGACTTTGTTTGTTCCTGTAGTGTCTTGAAAATAATGACCGATGAGTTTAAGTGAACTACAACTACTTCATCACTAATTCCTCTTTGCAACTAGTTCATCGCTAATTGATGTGTTATGAGTGTGGAACTAGTTGCACAAACGTGATCAAGACCTCTTGAAGATATGTCAAGGAAGACTCCAAAATCCAAATGATGAGAGGCCATTCAAAAAGATTCCACCATCAAACTTATTTTGTTTCAAATTTGCAAGATTACAAGATTGATTGTCTTTTTAGTATTTTAGATTTGCAACTAAAGGAGTGTAATGCTTGCTAGATTTGATGTGGAAAATTTTGAGTTATTTCATGTTGTTGCATGCTTAAGTCATGCCTCTAACTTTGTGGGTTTTGATGATGGGAAGTAGTTGAGGATGAAAACATTCTCTCGATTTGATTTCATTGATTAGCCTGCAATCAATTTGCTAACTATATTGAGAATATGCCATTAGATCATTGTTTTCAAGATTAACAGGGCTTGCATATATTTCAAAGAAACTTAGAACAACCAAAAAGTACAAGACTTATGGTGACGTTTATAAGTTTGTGAATTTTGCTTTGATCTTGTCGGTAACAACCATGAGTGTCGGACATGTCTTTTTTCAGCATTGAAGCATGTAATGAGTGAATTAAGGTACAAGATAGGGTACAAGTGATTATCACCTCATAACGTTTAGAAATTTTATATTTATTTTAGAAAAACATGAGCACTCGAAATAATCAATTCATGTAGTAGTGTTCTTATTTTACTCCATCTGTTCCATTATATTTGTTTTTTGTTTTCCTTTCTCGTCTGCTCAATTAAGTTTGTTCCATACTAGAATTGGTAATATTTTTGTCAACAACAACATACAAACCTTAATCCCAAAAGAATTTGGGGTCAGCTAACATGAATCGATCCATGATATCAAAGCCAAAAAGAGAAGAAAGATAAGAAGGAAAATAATAATAATAATAATAATAATAAAGTAAGATATAGATAACCATAATATAACAATAACATACGAACATAAAAAATATAAAAACTAAAAAGATAAAAGAGTATGGAAAAGAAAAAATAAAAACAACATAAGAACAAAGAAAGATCATCATTCATCATCATCATCATCATCATCACCCCAGTGCCCAAAGGCTCCCACCTACGGTGGGGTAAGGGGGGGGGGGGGGTTGGATGTACGCAGCCTTACCCCACAAAGATAAAGAAGAAAAATGATAAAAGAAAAAGAGGGAGAAAGTAGAGAAAAGAGATCAAAATCGTCCACACGAATGTGCGCCTCCACTTTGCTTTCTCCAAACTCGTACTTTCATCCAACCCAAGAAGACAGATATGATTTCTGATTAATCTAATTCAAGTCTGTTTGAGTCTTCCTCTCCTTCTCTTCCCCGCTTCTTCTCCCCACCTCTCAAGTCGTCAAACGGGTGCATTACTCGATTTTCTATACACATGACCAAACCACCGAAATTGAGACTCTTGCATTTTATCTTCTATAGGTGATACTCCCACATTTTGTCTGATTAGCTCATTTCTCAAGCGGTCTTTTTTGGTATGTTCCCACATCCAACACAACATACTCATCTCTGCCACACTCATCTTTTGAATGTGACATTGTTTCACCCCCAACACTCTACACCATACATTAATGCAGGCCTGATTGTTCGATAAAATTTACCGTTCAGTATAGTCGGCATATCTTGATCGCATAGAAATCGTGATGCACTCTTTCATTTCATCCACCCAGCTCTGATTTTGTGTGATACATCTTCATCTAATTCACTATCCTTCTGAATTATGGAGCCCAAGTACCGGAACATATCACACTGATATTTCCTCGCCACCAAGAGTAATCCCACAGTTACTACTACTTCTACCTCCATAAAACTTGCACTCCATATACTCAGTCTTGCTTCGGCTCAGTCCGATACCCTTGGTCTCCAATGTTTGTCGTCATACTTTCAACTTTGCTTTAACACCCGATTGTGTCTCATCAATCAATACAATATCGTCGGCAAACAGCATGCACCACGACACATCTTCTTGAATTGACTTCGTAAGCTCATCCATGATTATAGCAAATAAGGAGGGACTCAGAGCCGATCCTTGGTGCACTCTGATAGTAATAGGGAGCTCTACGGTCCTCCTACATTAGTACGGACACTTGTAGTACAAGCCTCACACATATTCATGATGAGACTGATATAGTTACGTGATACTCCTTTTCTAGTTAGGGCCCGCCAAAGGACTTCTCGAAATATCCTATCATAAGCCTTTTCTAAGTCAATGAACACCCTATCATATTTGTGTCATTCTAATTAATTCTTATTTTTTTTTTTAATAGTTTACCAATTCAAAATCAATCACATAACCCTACTTTTCTTAAAAATGACGCTTTAGCAAAAAATAGAGATTTGACGCTTTTTAGCATTTTCAATAAGTGAAAACGTTGTTTGATAAATAGCTGTTCGACCCTAACCTTTTTGGACAGAACTGCTGGAATAGAAACGTTGCAAATAACAGTGTTTTGAATGAACATTTTGAAAAAGAGCATTATCTACAAATCATTACGACCGAATAACTAAATTACAGCGTGACAACTTATTCCGCTAGTCAAACCCGCCGACTGAATCTGTTATTAACAACCTGCTAACATAATATGCTTTACTTTTCAATGTAATAGTTTTTTACTTGTCAAAGATACAATCATTGAATTTTTCCATTACACATGATCATTTTGATAATAATGTTTTTTAATTAGTTTTGAACACCCAGAATATATTAGGGCTAGATCCGCCACTGATAACACTATAACACAGTAACTATTCAGAAAAATATAAGCGTAATTTGACGTTCTCTCTTTTTAAGATCCGTTACATTATTCTAATATTTCATTAGAGGGTCATGTTCCACTGCAAGTCTGTAACAATGTCTAACTACTCAGAAATATGTAAGCTTAATTTGACATTCTCTCTTTTTAAGATCCTTTACATTGTTCTAAAATTCCATTAGAGGGTCATGTTAAATCAATTAGAGTCAATTTTTTTTACTGGAATATATGTTGCTCAGGAAGAACTTCAGATGAAAAGATTTCGACTTGCGAGAAAGATAATGAAAAAAACATGGAACTGAAAGAGCACTCGTTAATTAAATTAGAGAAGCCAACCTTTATTGAAGGATTTTTTTAAACAGACAAGACAATAACAAATTCGAATCAAAGATGTCCACAAAGCTTCCATTTGTTATGAGAGATTTGAGATATAACAATCTCAAACGGAATGGGGGAGTGGTGGACTTTTTTGGGTAATGGTGATTGGTGATGTCTCTACAATATGGTTAACTAAATGATGAAAGTACGCTCCTAGTGTTAAAACAAGAATCAGGAGGTTAATAGCAAGATGGAAATGCCGTTTGTGGCCAGGATTTGTATCAGAAGCCTGTCTGAATAGGTTCTAACTTCTAATTCCTCCCATAAGATTATACCAGTTTCAATTCTGTTTTTAAGATAGCCTAAAACTAGAAATGAAACCAAATGTATCCCTATATAAATGTAATTGTGTTTTATTCCAAGTCTATCCCTATACAAATGTATTCATCTTATAGCATGTAATGAACAAAACTGCAATTCAATGTTGCATATGACCTGAAAAAATGGATGTAAATGTAGAAAGAAAAATCAATAAAAAAATCTAACTATCAAACGCAATATAATTCTGATGCTAGTTCGATGAACAAGCAATTCTCCAATTCCTCACAAATAACACATATCTCTCTTTCTCTTTCCATTTTCAACCAATTCCTTTCTACCCCGAGTCCCTTCTCAGACATGTCCTTTCTTGCTTCCTTTTCTTCACTAACCAGCAACACCCACAATTCTTCCTCAACTTCGCTTCTTCTCAATGTTGGATAGAAGCTCATCTTCAAGGACTTAGACTCAATATGGATATCCATAAAAGAATTCAAAATCTGACTCAACCCTGAATTTATACGGTCAAATAAAAGCCTCCTTTCAGGCTTAGACCAACACACCTGCTTACCATATTTCATCTCTAAGGCCTCAAATAATAATGGGTTTATAGGGAATTCCAAAGAATCGCATGTTTCCAAGTCCACTTCAAAGTTCAGACGTGCCTCGTCCAAAATGTCTACTAGGTAAGAGAAGTCTCTACTTTCTTCACTGCTAAATAACCCGAGCTGTTCTTGAGAAGAATAAAATGATTCCCTTTTTTCTGCATTTTCAGCAACTGAAAGGGCCATTTCAGATGCTTCAGAGTACGTTTCCTCTGAATTGTTTTCAAGAAGCTGAAGCTGCTCTACCACACCTAGCAAAATGTATAGAAACTGCATTAGACCAAGGGATAGCTGTGCTAAGGCCCCGTTTGTTACATGTGGGAAATGTTTTCGTGAAAAATAAATTGATTTATGCATAATATATGTAATACGCAGTAATATTTAACCCACAAATAATATAAAACATAAAACTACGTATATGCTTAAGATAAAGATGGGAAATGACTTCTTGATTAAGATAGGAACTCCATTTCAGGAAAGTCCAAGGGTCTGTTTACAGCTTGGAAATGCTAAACAAGGAAAATGTAGAAGAAAATATAGGAGAGTTGGAAGGGAAAGTAAAGATGGGGGAGGATAAACCCAGCGGCGGACGCAGGATTTCCCGATAGCAGGGGCGGCAGTAGAAGAATATACATACAAATACATATATATTAAAAATTTCGAGGTAAATATACCTAGAATTTTTTTTTTCCGGAGGGGCGGCAGCCCCTCATTGCCCCCCTTTGTGTCCGCCGCTGGATAAACCATTGGATGAGACTTAACAAAGTCATTGTTTATATTTTTTCAAACTCAGTTTATTTATTACTTTCTATTACACAGAGACTATAAATCTACACATGGAAAACGCTTCAAACTTTAAATCATTTTTAAACTTCCCATTTTTTGATATAATAGCAAAAAACAAGAAAATAAATTTCCTTGGCCTTTTCTGGGATTCAAATATACCCTAAAAAATCCATGGAAAACATTTTGATGGACACACATGAAAATGCCACCAGGAACTAGAAAATAAATGACGAACGATCTCTACGAAAGTAATTCTAAGCAAACAGAGACTAAATAAATAAAGAAGATGTTATACACTGGCCATATAAAATTACTCGTAATATAGAAGGGCTGGTTTCACTTACTATGTAAATCTAAAACAGGACCTTCAAAGCATTCAGATTTTGGAAGTTTCATCCCCTTAAAGTGTGGCTCGAGAACTGAATTTGGGCTGCTTTGATTTGGTTCCTTGGGAGAATTTTGGTCAATTATGGTATCTTTCAAAGAAACCATTACGTTTGGAGGGGATCCATTAAATGATTCCTGCATAGGCATGGGCAGTAATATAAGCTAGGTGACAAGCATGTAGCAAAGAATGCTGACTACCTTTTTGCTGAAAAAGTTTATATTTCTTGATGAAATAGATTAATGAATCCTACATTATCAAATATCAGCACATAGTGTCTGTAGTGAAAATTAATTATGATGTATTTGATTACAAAATATAGTAATTGTAGCCACAAACTCAATATGATTAGTAAATAGTTAAAAATATCACTGTAAACAAGATAGCATGTAGAAGTATTGAATTAACGATATGTATGCAATACATCTGCATCCACTTGGGAGAGGGGGGTGGGAGTACTTCACATTCATATGATACTTTCAAAGATTTTTCTAAAAAATAACTGTGCGGATCAGGTAATAGGCTGACCACTACAATTAAGAGTGACCGAAACCAAAACTTAATAGGGAAAATGTTACTACCTCTGCCCAGCAAGGATTGTCATACTTGACCTTTCAGCAAAAAATCTTAAACTTGGACCAATAACATAAATTTATACTCCGTACAAAAGTATTTATAATATAAAAATGGTACTTGTTAAAAAACTCTCACGTAAGTACAAATTTATAGTTTAGACTAAAATATACCGATCCAAAACATTGGTCTAAGCTTAACATCTTCTACCAAAAAGTCAAATAAAGCAAATCTTTGTAGGAAGCAGTACATGTTTAAATATGAAACAGTAATTTTCACAACTTGGGATACAATCAAATATCTCTTGACACAAAATGCAAACCTGTCTAAATGGAGCTTCTACATTGTGAGAGGAGAGAACATCTGGAGTAGACAAAGCATAAGCACTTGATTCAGAATGAATGTTATCACACTCCGAAATTGAATTCCCAACGCTATGATTGGTTGGATTAGCCATTAAACACGCTGTTTTCCTCAGAAAATCAGGACTTTCATTTGAAGCTCTTGAAAGACCAAGTTTGAACTTGTAGAATCTAGACGCACTCTTCTTCTCTGGAATAACAATTCTTTCATCTCCAAGTTTAACATAGTGTTTTTGGCTCTGTTTGGGACGTTGCAAGTCACTTTTGCGATGTTGCACAGAACTATGTCTTACTTCAATAGTTTTTCCAGATGGCTTACAAAGATCTGAATGTCTCTGAGCTTCTAAAAGCTGATCATATTCTAATGAACTATCACTATTCTTCTTAACTGAAAATGAACTATTCTCCCACAAACCAATAGAAGCCGTTTTTTGAATATAATCTTCTGACAGAATCCTTCTTGAGATTCTTTGTTCACAGAAAGCCTGTGGAGGGAGTGCCTCATCAAAACCTATCAGCCTTGCAATCACACTTTGCTTGGATTCCATCTTTCAAATTAACTATTCAGCTATGTGCACTGCACAACCCAGAAAAAGTTTTTAGAAATTAAATTGCATGAACCTAATGTAATCTAATTTCTGTTTACTGTAAATTCACATTAGAACAATATATTTAGTTACGTTACATGTTATTCCAGACTCTTCAGTCAGACAAACTACACTTTAGTACTCACTTGATATATGATAGTGTATGTGACGTAGCTGTGATAAATGAAGACAGCAAATGAGTATATACAAAGAAACAATATTAATAGCTAAACAAGAAAGTGATCAACTTCTGGCTAAGTTCGTAAGTCTAAGAGCAGACAAATATAGTTGTGTTGAATTTTTTTTTAAAATAATGCATATAAACTTAGTTGCAGAAATTGACAAAAAGAACAAACACTTTGACTGGAAGAACTAAAAGCGAAGTATAGCAGACCACAAAATTTAGGATCAACACAATATTTTATTCCGTTCCAGCAGTTTAAAAGTCTCAAAAGAATCATCATAGAGGTTTGAGACCAATAACAGGGGTAGCTAAAACAAACAAAAAAGGAAGAAAGATAGAAAGAAAGAGGAAACAAAAATCATTCCATTTCCATTTCCATTTCCATCCCTACAATACTTATCAGAAAGAAAGAGGACACACAATAAATGCTACTGCATGAAAATATACACCAAACTCAGGTGCAAAAGGGAAACATAATAATCAAGAATTCATAATACCCAAATCCCAATATTGAAGAACACAAGGTCTCCAGAAAAAACTAAAACCAAAAGAACTAACCATAATTCAAGAAAGAAGTCTTCCAGAAAGTGAAAGGGCTGAAAAATCGTCAAGTTCTTCTCTTTTGATGACTCAGCATGGTACTAGAATCTGTGGCAAGAAAAATAGATTGCGAAATCATGTACAGGCCATAAAAGAATCGAAAACCCAAGGAAATAGGAGGAAGAAGGATTCTAAGAAAATAACGCCTATCTGACTATGCGATCGCTGTGAGCGGAGCAGTCAAGAAATGATGAACAGATGAAGAAAATGGAGAATACAGAACAAAGGGTTTACTGGTAATTAGGGAGCGTTTTTCTTTCTATAATTGTTCAACTCTTTTTTTAAATTATATATGCTCCGGACATTATTAGGCATGCATATATTTTATTTTACGTAATAGTTTAAAAACTGGTGTACGCTAGGTTTCTTTGGAGATGGAATTGTTTTTAGTCTGGACCAATATTTAACATCTTTCTTATAATAGGCATTATAGGCCCATAATTATAATATGACTACAATAAATGATTACTTAAAAATAAATTTCACTTTCAATCCGTATAGTATTGCACCAATTCTACAATTTTTTTTTGAAAGTTCCACCAATTCTACAATTAGTCAACATATTTGTCTTTAATCACTTCTGATATATGACTGTCATTTCTTGTCCACATGTGGTCCTTTCGTCGATATTTATGACCCTAAAAATATAACACCGTCCCCAAGTGTTTGTACATTATCAAATTATGTATTGAACCATGAGGAATGAATAAACGCATTTTTACGCGATTGTAAATTTTTATCATTTCTTTTACGTGAATAGTAAAATTCACGTGAGGCCCACACCGGAAGTGGGGGCCACCCGATAATTATCGGGACCACATATTATATTCATTTGGGTCTGGATAATATTCATATGATGGTGGATATCCACGTTGGACAATAGAAACCATGTGAGTTGGCTAGTCGTGCAAATAAAGCCCATTTATCAGTACCGAAGTAATATCAGATAAAAGGCATAATAAATTATGGAGACCATCAAATTAAAAGTTGGGGAATATACATTCATTCTTATAGCCAATAATAATTGGAAGAATGATAGATATTTCATTTTACCCGATAAAATGAAATATAGTTAAAACAGTCCGGAAAATACAACTTTCAGGACCAATTGTACACTTGGGGACACAAAGGGATGTCCTCCCACATAAGTGGGGGTCACCCCAAGTTTTTAGTCTTGCAAGGAGTGTGGAGAGCCGTATGAAAAGCAAGGAAATGAGAGGGAAGTGATTGGGGGACAAATTTGAAAGAGAAAGGGACCCTCTCCCATGTATTATTATGAGAAACTAGATTTCACCCGCGCGATGCGCGGTCCATATTATCGGATAGTTATATAATCTTATTTATTAACATTATTAGTGCATGTGTAGATGATATTTTTTATACGCATGTAATGTAATATATATGAACAATATACAATAATTATAGAGAAAACTATAGTTATCACTAATAATATGTACGATTTATATGTTAGGATAAGAGGAAAATACGAAACACAACATAAATTTCGAAACACTTGTTTGTAAACATTTGAAGCCTACAATGAGACATACAAAGACTAAACATTTCAAAAGATTTCTTTGTAAACAACATTTGTAGTACGGTCAGTGCTTTTCCCATCTTAACCGCAAATCAATATCTTCAAACCCTTACGGTTTGTCACTCTAGATACTACCACATACAATTGACCATGCGTAAAGACAAGTTTCTTTAATAAGAGTCCGACATGAGTCAAAGATTGGCCTTGACTCTTATTTATTGTCATCGTATAAGAAGTCATCACTGGAAATTGCCTACGTTGGGTCAAAGACATGTTTCTTTATTAAGAGTCCAACATGGGTAAAAAATGTATGAGATGAAAAATGATTTATGAACGAACTAAGTAGAAATTTATAAATATCATATGCTATAATAGTTTGAAATGATTATGGTACCTACGTTGCGCCCCAACAAATTTTTACGTTGACTTCAATTACATAAAAAATGTTTTTAGATATATTTTAATACTATAAAAACAAAAGTATTTATTCAATCACATTGAAATATTTTTATTTCCCAATTAAATCTAACCAAACCATTGAATATATACAAAAGTACTAGTTGTGCTACGCGCGATGCGCGAAAGGAAAATGCCCAAAGTAACGTTTTAGTAATAATATTAGGTTGTGTTATTGAAATTTTGTTTAGAGCACCATTAAATAGTTGTTCCCTAAAAAACGTGTGGAGATTCTGGTATTTACAGAATATCATATAAACAATTTTAACAGGACCATATGTTGCATCATATACTTTTATTGATGAATATATGCGTCGTTGCATGTCATATGTCACATATTGTTGAGGTTTATTCCTTCAACCTTCAGGCCCAACACGTAAGCCTAAAGATTTCGAGCGGAGTGCGTGCGAATAACTAGCCCAACAAGCAGATGATAAGGGTCAAGAAACAATAAGGTAGCAAGTAAGTGATTAGGTATTATTATCTCTTAATAACTCCCTAATACAATACTTTCGCTAAGGCTCCGTCGGCCGTTCGTCTCACAAGGCAGTAGAAGTGCTGCGAGTAAGAATGCTATAGCTAGTGCTAAGAATAGAAAGTTGCCAACCCTTTACAATGAAATAAATGCTTCTATTTATACCCGCCAATGGGCAGGTGGCTATGCTGACGTGGAGGCCTGCGGACCGCTTGTGTCCCAACCACCAAATCTTCTGCATTAAATGCACTTCCCGCCAGAATCTAGGCTTCCCGCCTAAATAATGGGGACGTTCGTCCGCCAGGGGTGAGTTGGGTCACTCCAAGTGACCTTCAGGAGACTTCGGCTGTTCGTCCCCTGACCTTGTGGATTCTCTCCATGTGGACTGGATCTCTTCCGACGATCATGGGCCTGCCCAGGAGACGTTCGTCGTCATCCCTGATGGCCAGTGATCCTGCCCCTTGCCTCTGCACGGACGTTCGTCGTGATGGGCCGTTTGAACCTGGGCCCCCCAATTCCGGACGTTCGTCTCTTCCCAAGGGTCCTGGGCCTGCGCCCAGCCTGGTCCTAGCTTGACGTGCGTCCGATAGAAAAAAGGGGGTTAATGGGCCAGACCTCGGCCTGGGCCATTATCCCAACACATATATTTATATATACACCGATACATGATGTGATTCTGGCAAAAATCATCATTCCCGTGCTAACTGCAAACAATAACACACACATATATACATTAAACACATACTCGTACATTTGTGTGTGTAAATTATTAAAATGCCTTATTACTTATACGTGAGTTTTGTCAAATATTACTGAAATAGTAACATACGGAGTATATATGAATGAAAATATGATTAATTAATTACTATGAGTATACTATCACTAAAGTTATTATAATCACTAAAATATATAAAATCTGTCATTAGTAAAATATTTTTCATTATTCCATGAAATGTTTTAGAAGGGCTTTCTCAGCCTTGGTAATGATGACTTGTCTACACACTGGTTTGTTGCTACACAAAGCAAAAGTTGAATAGTATCCGAAAATTGGACGTTTTAGTAACCATGCATGATGCACCCTACAATCAAAGGATACTTATTGATAGGATAAATAGATGCACACGCTTTCCCCCCAAACACGCGGTTAATGATTGAAGTACAAACAACCTATGATAAGAATTTGTGATTAGCAAAAATTTTATTGATCCTTCTATATTTTTTTTATAAAAGGAGAAAGCATATATGAATGTTTTATCACTTTTGAACTTTTCTTTTATTGATTAGGTGTTCTATATGTTTCAACTTTTATATGCTTGGTTTTATTGATTAACAGATATGTATGTTTTAAACTCTTAATTTACATGATACATACACTGATACATACTCTTTTTGTATGTGATATGTGTGTGCTTAATAAACTCTTAATTACATATCAGTAACTGAATGCAAATTGACATTAAAAGAGCAAAAAAAATCCTTGTAGCATCTTCACTTTTACTTTTAAGGATTAGGAGTCATTTCTAGTAAAAGTGGTCATCTAACCATCTTAGATTTTCATCCAACATAAATACTCAAAATTCTGGCTTTTGATTTTAAAAAATAAGACTATCTTGTGGAGCTAGCTGTTAGAATCCCACACTGGAAAAGTTTAAATCAACAAAGTGCTATATTAAAATGTGAGTTACTCTTCCTATCAGGTTGACCTTTTAGGATGGAATCTCGGATCTTAACATTAACTGCTATATATGAACACTATTCAATTCAAGTATACAATTTTGACACTTCGTAACTCATAAAACATTCATTTCAACCTTATATTCATTCACAGTTATCATATTCCAATTATTCAATCATAAGTTCAAAGTATACCAAATCCAACCAATAATTATTCAAGATTAAAGATTGAGTTACTCAGGAGCGAAGTTCCCTACCCTGTGAGATAGCAAGAAAATGAAACTTTTGACATGGAAGACCTTCTCCACCTCACCAAATGCAACTAATAAGCGTAAATGCTGTTTTTGCAAGCACAAGAAGCTCTAGGAATCGTGCTTAGAGACCAACAGGGACAATTAATTTCAGGGATGAATTTCCCTACTCAAGCCTATTTAGTTCTTCAAGAGGAGAATGAGGCAACGATGACTGGTAGCTGTCTAAACCTGGGGCGTACCAGATTTCATAATGAGACCGATTCGGACTTTCTTTGCAGAGTGAAGAAGGATGCACACATACCACCATATCTGCTGTGTGCACTTGCTGATCGAATTCATAGGCTCTCACATGTCGATAATCATAATCTACCGGGAGATTAATCTCGTGGCTTATCATTTGGCTCAGGAGGCCGGGTTCGCAAACTGCCTGTCTGAGTTCTTTCCACCGTTTGAGGGATCCAAACAGTTGAGTTGGAGAAAACATTAACGGGGCTGACAGCAAGTGAATAATCGGTTGGACTTTAACGGAAGGATAACAGGTTATTAATAACTGGTACAATATTTAAAACATGATGTACAATTAAGTAATGCTAAACTTTTACACCAACACATTTTTCATACCTAAAACACCCTTACCTCTACTGACTATTATAATATTTTAGATATTTTAGATGTAACATCAATTTAATTTCAGACCCAAATAGCTGAAATTTCGGATCCAGCTTATAATCCCATTAAAATCAAAACCTTTCAGCCAGCCCTAATCCTACCCGGCCCAATTAAACATACCCAGCCCAACCCGTTATCTTTAACCTACCTAGACTAACCCTAACCAACCCTAAATATAAATACCCCAATACCTGCGTTCCACCCAATTATGCAGCATACCACCTATTATCCACCAGACCCTTCCACGCCTCAACCTCCCTCTGCGATAGAAACCTACCATCTTCAATGCGACATTCATCCCCCCTCTAAACGCCATCATTCATACTCTTCTCACTTCTCACTTTTCTGTACAGCGACATTCAATCCGAACGATTTGTCCATTCCGATTGAGTTGTTGGTATATTTCTGCATTTCTTTGATTTAAACATACTGGTTCATTATATATTTGATTTTCTGTATTTTGGTGTTCTATATAAAAAATCCTTAACACATTCAATTTTTCGGTGTTTCTACACTGCTTTTTCAAAATAAATCAGTTAATTTTTTAAAAAAAACTTTCACTGCACGTAGAGCCTGAACAGATCTTTGTAGATCTATGGATATGTGGTTGGTGAATGTCTGAATCTCCGAGACCTAACATTATTTGGGATTTAGATCTGTATAGATCCATGACTCTATAATTCGTACACGTTTATACATAAGTTTTTCGTTTTGATTTTGTAGTGACCTAGGGGTATACTGAGATTTCTCACAGTGGAGTATTCGCTCACCTCGTATCACGAAATGGTACTACGTATGTGTCTAAATCTATTAATTTTTTCGCTCGTACATGTCTGAATATAAGATATGTATCATTTGTTGCTTTCAGGTCTGTCTAGATCTATGCATATGTGATGCTTACATGTCTTTATATGATTCAGATGCCAAGTTTAGGCAATGACTTTTTACAATCTGATGTTGGGCCTGTATTTACATCCACGACACACTACTATCCTATCAAGAGGCATAGTTGTATGTCGTACTACGTAACTATGAATCTAATACCTAAATTAATATATTCCGAAGTTATTCTATTTTTTACTATGTCATGTAGTACTGATTTGAAATAAAACCTTGTGATTAAACTATTTTTATAAATCAACACTAATATACCTACGTGTCATTCGTATATTCTAACGTCTATATACCTTTGTGACTACTTATTTTTGTAGCAGCTTAAATCATTTTTTAAACTAAATCTGATTTTCAAACTGTGCTTCATACATCTTAAAACTCAAATGAATATATTCCTAAGTGATTCTATTTTTTAATTTGTCATGTAGTACCTATTTAAAACCCTATTATTAAACTATTTTTGATACATCTCTAATCTGTTGTTACAATTGATATACCTATGTGTCATACATATATTCAAACATCTATAGACCTATGTGAATATCTATTCAGTAACAGTTTGGATCATTTTTAAACAATATTGATAAAAACTAAATCTGATTTTTAAACTATGCTACATACATCTTAAAATACTCGTTTTTAGTACTGGTTTTAATGTTGCTTTGTTTTATAACTAAAATGTGTATTTCTTTTAATACGCATTTAATAACTGATGTAATATTGTGATTTAAAACCACATTTCTTTTTAAAACCAAGCTGCTATACATATAAGTATACATGTATATATCTATATGAATAGATATATTGAGGTCGTTTGACAATAGCATGATTCCTAGTTCCCTACAAAAGTGGCCAAGTTAGTTTTAAAAAAGTCTTGCAAAACTACTGCATATTCAAAATACACATCAAGAAAAATATATCCCTCATCATGTAGCACCATTTCAAGAGTATTTCCTCCCCTTGCGTGAGCAGCCACTTCGTAAACCCTAACCACTCGGACTTCCCCAATGCCCAACTGGTTTTCGTGTGGTCAATCTCACTTATGCAAGACCACATTCCCCCACGCTTAGAGCCAGCCATAGCAGAACTGTGGAGTTTTTTGAACTGTGAAGTTTGGGAATATTTTGTTACTGGGAGTGTGTTGGGAGAATGGCTGTGAGAAGGGTCCTATTTATAGGGTAAGTTAGTGGCCCAATGGCTTTTGAAATGTGATCTGGAGTGTGAGGTCCATTACTATTCAAACTTTTGAATTTTCGAGTATATTCACTACTCCTCAATCTATGTATATCTATGCACATGCCAGTAGTTGTATTTCTTTTTTGAGTAAAACTCTCACCTACATTAAAAGTGGTGTACTTTATAACTAAAACTGATGTATAGTCAAACTCTGGATTCTTGATTCTCGTGTAGGGATTCTAAAGATCAACTTTGCATTTAATGTTACCTAGGAATTTAAACTAGCTGAACCATTCTCATTAAATGACAACTTGTTTTCGGATTAACTCCCAACCACTCAAGAGTACTAATTTAAAATTGTGAGCTTTAATGGAAATAAAAGTCAACCAAATTTAATGCATCATCCGCTGGTATTGTGATGGTGCTCTTTGCAGTTAATGATACCTCTAATTTTAGACATAAAGTAACAAAAGCCTCTGCCCTGAAAGTTTTTTAGCCATTTTAACGTAAAATGTTATCTGATACACGACATCTTGTTTCTTGGACCCAGCGAACCCGACCCAAACACCTAACCCGACCCGATTACATAACCCAACCCACTGCAGGTCAGGCATTTGGGCGGGAAAAATGCATGTTTTTCCACCTCTTTTTATATAGAGGTAGATGCCAAAGGAAACATCCTCAATCACCCACCAACCCATCCCATTCGTATCAAGCAGCATCTTTGAGGATAGGAGGTCTGCAAAACACCTTTTCATCCACCATACACGCACCTAAGCAAGGGGAGGAAGAAGGAAGGGAAGTGAAGAAGAGAAAGGAGGGAACTAGGAGGAAAACGTGTGGTTAACAAGGTAATGACTTTATTAATCCCATTTCTTCTCTTTAATCATATTTCATACTCCTAGGGTAGTTCTACACGTTGAATGGTGTGGAATGGGGTTTGAAAGGAAGTCCTAAGTCCAAGAACAGACTTAGAGAACAAAGTTGACGGGTTCGTCAGAAAATAACCTTTTAGAGGTTATTTGTGTTGATATGGGTTTTACGATGATAAAACCTTGTTGTGAACTTGTATAAGGTACTTCAAGAACTTTCACGGAGTTGAAAGGGTCGCCGGAGTTGTCGCCGGAGTTTGTTGAAGTTCGCCGGAGTTTCACCGGGGCCAAATCGGGGAGGCTAGAACTTCATAAGCTTCACTAAGGTGAGAAGACGGCTTTATGCTTTATAACTTTTGTGTGAGGCATGAGATTACCTAACTTAATCAAGAATATGTTTTATGAATTGATTAATGATATTAAAGCATGTGCTATGACATGTTAAAGAGTATAACATAGTTGGAAATCATGATTTGTAGGTTGGATTAGTGAAATTATTATAAATTGATATGTATGATGTTCCAGGGACCCAAATAGGTATTTTTGGATTAAGGACGTCAAAGAGTACATGCATGTAAAATTTCACGTTAATCGGACTTCGTTTGGGCGGTCAAACGGGCGTTGACCGCCAAGTCAACTGTCATACCCGACCGGGTATTGGCAAATACTCAACCGGGTATTTACTGAAATTAGCCCCGGGGGGCTACTGCCTCCTATACCCGACCGGGTATAGGTAGGTACTCAACCGAGTATTGGGTTTACACCCAACGGTCAGTTTTGAATGAGTATAATGTGGGGCGTTTGGGTGAGAACCGTCCACGTTGATCATTGAGGATTATTATATGACTAAAGGGCTAGGTATTGTCCATAGTTAAAGGAATGAAAGGTTAGCCATATCCAGGTTAGGGTTTGGTAAGGATTAAGGTTGAGGTTGAGTATCCTCGGGACGGTAAATGATCCTAAAACTCGGTTGAGGTTGAGTATCCTCGGGACGGTAAATGATCCTAAAACTCAGTTGAGGTTGAGTATCCTCGGGACGGTAAATGATCCTAAAAACTCGGTTGAGGTTGAGTATCCTCGGGACGGTAAACGATCCTAAAACTCGGTATGACATTATGAACGTAGAACGTAGCTTGTGAGCTAGGCATTCGGGAATGGATGAGAAAGGTCGGGTAAGTACCTTATCTCTAAAAGACTCTTTAAATGAAAATGATCCACGGGTCAAGTATTTTACAAGTATATACGGTATGTATCATTTTGTGGATGTGGTAACGATGGTTACACCTATACATATATGTATCACCCTATTTTTGGGTCTTGTGTCTGAAACATTAGTTATTCCTCATATAGCCTGCTTGTCAATAGTACTTTCTATGGAGTACTGACCCCTTCGGGGGCCTCACATTTTTCAGGTTAAGGCTTGAGACCTATTCCTGCACCTTTGCCTAGGGTGATCATCAAATAAGGAAGACGTGGTTCGTGCTTTCATTCTTATTTGTAACAATGTAATTACTCATGGATATTTAAACAATGTTTTCTATTAAATTATTGAAGGGCCTGCGTGCTCATGTTCGCCACGTGTGGCTAGTTGTCAAATACTCCCTCCGGTTCTTTTTAAACTTCAGTGTTTGACTTCACAGTTATTAAGGAAATAAAGTTGACTTTACTGTAGAGTACACTGTTGAGACACTGTTTGGCACTGTTGAGACACTGTTTGGCACTGTTTAGCACTGTTTAACACTGTTTTGATGTAGATTTCTTTGCCAATTAAGGAAATAAGGAAGTGTGAAGTTTATTTTGGACCGTCCGAAAAAGGAAAGTGTGAAGTTTATTTAGAACCGGAGGGAGTATATTTTATTTCCGCATTTGTTGACTAATATATTGATGTTGATTGTATGAGTTTACTAATCGATTTGACAATAGAATCTATCGGACGCCTTGTATGATTCAATAAGAATGAACTACGTTGTTCTTATTGGGTTGTACGACGGTTGTCTACGTGGCGCGGATGCGGTCCGGGGCGTGACAAAAAATTACTGGAGAAGTGTCGGAAATTTGGATGGAAGGATCACAGATGAGCAATAATCTATAGTGATGTATTAAAAGTGGGCAAAATCAAAGACAGACAAAATATGGAATTGATATAGTACTCTTTTATTGTACAAGTAGTGATGTACTAAAAGTGGGCAAAATCGAAGACAGAGACAAAATTTGGAATTGATATACTCCGTAGTACTCTTTTATTGTACAACTTTAAATTTTCGGAAAGCAACTTTAACTAGCCACCGGTCTACCGTTGCATAGTGGTCTAATCTCCAGTCACCGAGTGTCATCCCTCCAATCGCTGCTGGCTAGTCGTTAACCATTTCTGACTCCACGGGAACAATTTTCTCTTTTTAGTTCATCCTCTAATACTTTAGTTTGAAAGAACATCCAAATTGGATTTTTTGAAAATTAAATTCTGTTATTTTAATTTGTTCATTTAATTTGATGAGTTTTTCTTGAATTAATGCTAATTAAATAAATAAATTCAATTCCAAAATACAGTTGTGACTAACCGTGGTTACAGAAAGCTGCCCTCTGGAATGTCGGCTCTATAGTCGCCACTACCACACATGATTGAAGTTCTCAAATTGCAATACTTTTTTTTTTCTTTTTATGGTTTGATTATTCTTGCATAACATTGTCAATATGATCAATGGGTTGCTCAAATCCTTTCCCTTGTTAGGTAATGAAGCCATGAAGGAGTAAAACCATTGTGAAGATGTGATGCACATATATTTCCTTTTCCTTGGTCTACCATGGAAAAGTTGAATAGTCATGGATATCAAAGGTATGATTTTGAGTCCCAACTTTTGTAACTTGTTAAGCTTTTCGTTTTCAGCTAATAAGGCTAAACTTTTAAATGCGCACACTTTAATTACCTTATCTAGCCACTACACTCACATGATATTAATTATTAAGCTGATTTTGCACTATCTATTGTTTTAATAGTAAAACTCAGTTTTAAAAGGTTGGTGTATCACAAGCTTATTGGTTAAGAGAAATTATATTAAAATTCTTTTAATTTATTAAAACATTTAATTAAAAGAACGAATGATGTAGTTTGAGACAAAATCTTATCTCTTTAACCGATTGTAAAAACACCGAAGGATTCTACTTCGGGCATACTAGGACTCTAATTTGATACTTCGCAGTACATTTAGGGTATGTTTGGCACAACTAGCTGAAAAGATACTTTTGTGAACTTTTTAATAGCTGTTAGCTTTTAGTGACTGAAAAGATCATAAAAATAAAAGGTGGTAGCTGTTTGATGAAAAGTTGACTGTTTGATTTACTTCGGTTTGGTATACAAGCTGTTAGGATTAATTAATACTAAAAGTCACTAGCTTTTCTTAGATGCTACTCCCGGTAGCATCTCAAAAAAGATCTTTTAATTTTTGAAAAGCTCTTAAATATTGTCATGTCAAACACACAACTAGAAGCTTTTAGGAACTTTTTGAACAGTACAAAAGCTAGAAGTCAAGGACTTATGCCCGCCAAACATAGCCTTAATATCATCCCACCAGGAGATCTTTTTTTTTTGCAACATCCGAGTAGGAAGTATAAATATACGATCAATATATTTTTGTGGCTGGAAACACGATCAAATGATTGATATTCATGTAATTTCCGATTGTATGTTTGTATTTTTAACTAGTTTTTATTAGTTCTAGTTGTGGAAATTACACACTTTTGGTGTAATATTTTATTTTCATTTTTATTTGTAATTTGTTTAGATTAGGATTATTCTGAGCTAAACAGGTCAAAGATCATCCAAGGGATCAAGATTGGACCTTAAAAGATCAAGGAAAGTGCAAGGAGACAAGAAAGATTTCGATTTGGAAAAAATACTCATGTACCCGGTCGGGTATTGCCTATACCCGATCGGGTATTCACTTGATTCGATTGTCCAAATCAAATCCGGGAACAAATGATCGTGGGAGCAAATTTTCGTGAAGATTTGTCACATACCCGATCGGGTATGCCGACATACCCGATCGGGTATGCCCAGAAAAGTGACTTTCTGGGCAATTTCCTAAGATACCCGATCGGGTATCCTATATACCCGATCGGGTATCAGACCATGCAGCTCCCAAAAGCCTATAAATACACCCCTTTCGTTCACAATAAAATCACCAATTCACATATACTCTTTAGCTCAGTTTAGATTAGTGTTTTCTTTATATTTTCTATCATGTTTAGTCTCCAAATGAGGAGCTAAACTCTTCCATCTTGGTTTTGCTACTTTGAAGCTTAATGAATTTGTAAGTTGTGAGTTATTCTCTTTAATCTTCTTCCTTGAATATTAATTCTTCCTTTAAATACTATTTCTATATCAATAATGGGGAGTGTTACTAAGATGACAATTAGTTAACATCTTGACATTAGTTATAGTAATAATTATTTCTTCCTCTACGTTAATATTGGGGAGTGTTACTAAGATGACAATTAGTTAACATCTTGATATTAACTATAGTAGGATTCATCTTCTTTAATATTCTTTCTTGAGTATTAATTAATTCCTATTCATATTTCATATTAATATTTTGAACATTACTTAAAGGATCAACTAGTTTTGTTTCATATATTAATTAATACTAGAATCGGTCGATTAATACGCTTGTTATTAATTTGGTCCTTTCATGGTAGTAAACTTGGATTATTAATGCATGCATCTCATGGTTAATAATCTAAGGGGAATTAATTATATTGATTAAACCAATAAACCGCTTGTGTTGAGGTTATCAATCTCAATCGTTTTCATCTTAAGTTTATTGCTACTATCAAGTTAATATACGGCGCTTGTTCTATATTGACTCGATAGTAAGTTTTATTAATGAATGCTTCTTGTTATTAATAACTACCCTCGATGAACTGGATATACTCCTCGATTGAGTATTCGAGAGGAAGATAGTTAAAGATATAACCGGGATCGACGAACATTTCATTAAGTGGATAAAAGCAAAGCCAAGTCTTCTTCTCATTAATTAAACTCATTTAAGTCATTCATCTTAGTGTTAATTAAATCAAATCAAATCTAAAACCCCCCCTTTGTTACTAGTTAATTAAAAAGAGAAATATTCCTTTCCCTGTGGATACGAACCTTACTTCGCTATACTACGTATTAGTGTCGTATTGATATTTATTTTGAGTGCACCTCACGACAAGTGCACGTCAAATTTGGCGCCGTTGCCGGGGAAAGGAAATTATTTTTCTTTTTATTTTATTTTTAAAAAAATCAAAAACAAAAAAAAATTGAAAAAAAAATATAAATAAAAATCTTACTTTTCTATTTTCTGAGCTTTCATGAGTATATGGATGCCAACACATCATCCCTAGAGAGTCAAATTTTCGACTTGACTTCTCCAATAAAGGAGTTTATTTCATGTTCTCAAGATGTCCATACATGCAACATTTGCATGTCACACAGGCATCTTACGGATTTTTGCCCAGAGCTTCAAAAAGAATACTTTGAACAAAGGAATGATATTGGTTTCCAAGAGAGGTATGATTCATTCTCCAACACATATAACTCATACTCAAGTTCTTACTCCAACATGTCCACTGAAGACATGATCCGAGCTCTCACTATCAATGTGACAAATATGCAACAAAATATGTCACAATGCCCACAAGAAACAGTGTCCAACGAACAGAACTTGGACAAAATATACGATCAATATATTTTTGTGGCTGGAAACACGATCAAATGATTGATATTCATGTAATTTCCGATTGTATGTTTGTATTTTTAACTAGTTTTTATTAGTTCTAGTTGTGGAAATTACACACTTTTGGTGTAATATTTTATTTTCATTTTTATTTGTAATTTGTTTAGATTAGGATTATTCTGAGCTAAACAGGTCAAAGATCATCCAAGGGATCAAGATTGGACCTTAAAAGATCAAGGAAAGTGCAAGGAGACAAGAAAGATTTCGATTTGGAAAAAATACTCATGTACCCGGTCGGGTATTGCCTATACCCGATCGGGTATTCACTTGATTCGATTGTCCAAATCAAATCCGGGAACAAATGATCGTGGGAGCAAATTTTCGTGAAGATTTGTCACATACCCGATCGGGTATGCCGACATACCCGATCGGGTATGCCCAGAAAAGTGACTTTCTGGGCAATTTCCTAAGATACCCGATCGGGTATCCTATATACCCGATCGGGTATCAGACCCTGCAGCTCCCAAAAGCCTATAAATACACCCCTTTCGTTCACAATAAAATCACCAATTCACATATACTCTTTAGCTCAGTTTAGATTAGTGTTTTCTTTATATTTTCTATCATGTTTAGTCTCCAAATGAGGAGCTAAACTCTTCCATCTTGGTTTTGCTACTTTGAAGCTTAATGAATTTGTAAGTTGTGAGTTATTCTCTTTAATCTTCTTCCTTGAATATTAATTCTTCCTTTAAATACTATTTCTATATCAATGTTGGGGAGTGTTACTAAGATGACAATTAGTTAACATCTTGACATTAGTTATAGTAATAATTATTTCTTCCTCTACGTTAATATTGGGGAGTGTTACTAAGATGACAATTAGTTAACATCTTGATATTAACTATAGTAGGATTCATCTTCTTTAATATTCTTTCTTGAGTATTAATTAATTCCTATTCATATTTCATATTAATATTTTGAACATTACTTAAAGGATCAACTAGTTTTGTTTCATATATTAATTAATACTAGAATCGGTCGATTAATACGCTTGTTATTAATTCGGTCCTTTCATGGTAGTAAACTTGGATTATTAATGCATGCATCTCATGGTTAATAATCTAAGGGGAATTAATTATATTGATTAAACCAATAAACCGCTTGTGTTGAGGTTATCAATCTCAATCGTTTTCATCTTAAGTTTATTGCTACTATCAAGTTAATATACGGCGCTTGTTCTATATTGACTCGATAGTAA